ATTTGGGCGAATGTGTCATAAACAAATAACGTCCGGCACCCTCAATGTCAACTCTAGCATCCAACTCAGCGGCGGGTGACATTGTTGGGTTAGGTCATGGCCCTCGGCCATGGTCGGGCCATACTGTCAAAACCCCCAACGCAGTAAAACGATGCTTTTGTCGACCGGGATTTCCACTCACGGTGCGGAGCGGGTAGCCGCCAGCATCAGGCCCAGCCCCACGGAAGAGCTTAAGCGCATCATCATTGATCAGTCCTTGAACAAGAGTGGCACCTGCGAGCGCCAAGAAGAGTGAGTGGACACGCGTCAAGATTGTGTTAGTTGAGATATATATATACTTCATACTTCTAGTATATATTGTGTGGCGATTGCACAACCAACACCGGATTTTAGTTTTTGTCCACGCTCGTTTACATACAGAATATACCTGTCGAGTCGCATGACAGTATCGGAATGGTGACGACGTTCGGAGTGGGGGGTGTACTGCTTCCTCTAGTCGACAGTGCCGGCCATCACATGATGTGGACCTCTATTGTTCCTCCAGTATACTTACGTAGTAGCGGCCATCGCCGAACAACACAAAACCCTCGCGACTGTTGGATGTCCCAACCTGAGCTCCTCAGCTAATAAATGTGCCCATGTTTAAAAAAATTCGCTGACGACCGAGTGTCTCACTCTCATTACAACAGACAACAGATGTTGTGTGGTATAACTGGCAAGGTGACTCGGATTTGACCCCGAGGCCCCACGCTGATTGACCAAAGACCACCGCAGAGTACCGTTTCTGGCGGTTCAGGTGAGAATACCAAGACCGGGCTTGGATTTCACCACTGCATAGTCGCACCCGTCATTTATTCACCCGCAAGTAATGCCTGCCCACAAAGAACCTTCGCCTCCGACGACTGCTGTCTGATCCTCTGATCTCTCAAATAACCAGCATGTTGTGCGGGAATTACATCATCAACCATGAGGCTTGGATCCAAAATCAACCATCATCGCGGATTCGCATCAACAAGATCCGCACGCCAACAAAATTTAACATGCACGGCATATCGGTGTCGGAGTCCGATATGGAATTGCTCGTCACCAATGTTGAACATCATCTGCATACTCATCTTGATTGTTTGTGATCACTTACTCCTCTGACCATAGCAGTGACCCACATGCACGTGTGCAATTTTCTTCCGTGAACAAGCCATGGCAAAACATGAGGTGATCATAATAGTATAATGGAATGAGTAGTCTACGTAGCAAATAAATGTGCCTACTCAACACGAACACCCCCGGAGGTTGAGTGAATCAGGTTATAACCTCCCGAAACCTGACAATAAAAGTCAAAAACTACTGCTGGTGCACTCTTTGACCTTTCACCATCATCACTGCTGTCAGGGCCGTTTCAACACAGCTGTCACAACAAACAGTGGACACCCACAAAACCTTGCGAAGTCGTTCTTTCTGTGTTCCGCCTCGCCCTGCCCAAAAACACCTACCTTGCGAAGTCCTTCTTTCTGTGTTCCGCCTCGCCCTGCCCAAAAATACCCCCCCACCCGCAGTCTGTCGAGTTTGCCTAGCGGTATGCGGTACGACCGCTGCTGGCGTGTAGATAGTCTATGTGTATGATGCATATTGAACCGCCACTACTGGCGGTGGTACTGGTGGTTGACCTGTGCAGAGCGAATCACTCCGGCACAGACAGGGCACCACCATCATTCCTGCTGCTGCTCTGCGGCTGCCTGCTGCTGCAGGACAATGTTGAAGTATTTTCATCCTTACTTTCTGGACGTGCTGGATTGTCGAGCAACTCTCAACAACTGCTGTATGTTGACATCTGTATCATATGTGCAGCAGTACAGTGTAGTGGTACATGTGCGGCGGTAGACTACTGCTGTAGTATTTGCGGTACCGCGAACTGAGCACCTGACCCACGGACGTGAGGTTCTCCTAAAACGATCAACATCTGAGACCGCTCAAGTTCTCGTGTCCCTGCCAAGCACGTGTATAACTGCCGAGGTTCTACAACAAAGTGCTCGTTGCCGGTACTTTGGTGGTCTGCCTATTATGCATATGCAGTGCCGCCAGAACACCCGCACACTGACAGCGCCACTGGCAACCGATGACACAGCAGCCTATGTACTTTAGTTGGAGACTGTTAGAGTGCTCGGAAAGCTCTGGCTGACACACATAGCGTACACTGGAGATGAACACTGTAATGTTTTCCGTCGCTGCTGGGAACCCGCAGCTTCATGCAGCATCCGAAGATGAGACACCGCCATTGTGGTGTAGTCTAGTTGACCGTGAAAGGTCGAAATCATAATAATCGTTCAGACATACCAGACACTTGTTGACGAGCTGTTGCGGAGACAAAATGCCCAATGCCAACGCAAACTGGACGTGTCTGATAGCTCAGGAGATGTACGCTCACGACGACTCTGGGAGCTGCTCCCTGCACCCATGGTTGTGCACAACAAGCAAGTACCCCAAAAAGTACTCTTATGATTGTTTCTGGCCCGCAGAATGAGCGGTACGCAGAAAAAACGGTACGTAACGGCTTTTGCCACCACAACCCGCGATCATACGTAAGCACACACCCAGCCAGGTTTTCCGCGACACTGCTGCTGCGTTGCGATGCGTTATGATGCATGCACGGGTCAATCTGAGATGACGCACACGGGCGGTATGCTGCCGGGGACTGGACTGCTGTTGTCTCGAAGGAAGGATCAAGAAAGAGTTGATGTGGTGGTGTTGTGAGCGGATAAACATCGCCTTACGTAGAAACTGCTCATCAGGACGCGGCTGTGGGCGCTGCTGAGAGTGGCACACGCAGCTCAATCAGCTGGGTTGGTTTCCCAAACATGCCATAG